CGGTCAGGGTGGCAAATATCGACTCGTTGCGGACCGTGTTCAGCTGGTCTTACTATCAGCCAACACAACGGGCGCCCTAGGCAACGCGACTGCAGGCAATGGAAAGACGACTTTTGGGTTTTTGGAGTGGCCCTTGGCGCTTACTTCTGGAGGGAATGCAGCCACGGGTCTCCTAAATACTACCGAAACTTCCCTCGATGTCATTGGTTTATCTTTATTCAGCGACCTCGGTGGGATTGTCGGTATATCCTCACGGCCTGTGGTCGCCGCCGTTGCACATCATCCTTCTGGTGCTATCGTCGTCGGTGGGACGTTCAATCTTGGCACTCTCAAGGCGAGCAATATTGTCATATTCAAGAACGGCGCTCTTGCAGCGTTGTCTGGAGGTGGGCTTAATGGCCCTGTGACATCTCTCGCTTTGTATGGCGACACACTCTTCGTCGGGGGTTCGTTCACGGACACATCCTCAAGTTCAACGCAAGGCCGTCTCTCCGGTATCGCATCGTATGACATCGCCCGTGATCAGTGGTCGCCATTATCAGCCGGGGTGAATAATGCCGTCAAGAGCCTCGACATCGATAACGGTCAAGTCTCGGTTGCAGGCAATTTCACACTTATCAACAGTGGACAAAGATCGCCTGGCCTGGCGTTATGGGATATCAGCAGCGGGTCGTGGATCAACCAGGGCGGATTTTTGTTGGGCAGCCTAACCTTTGTGGGAAATGGCACCGCGCCAGGGAAGGGCCAAAGCAGTCACAGATACTTGCGGGCAATATCCAAGATTCCCTCGGCTTCGGCGCGAGCGGGTTCGTGCTGCTTAAGAACGGGGATGGTGGTCAACCAAGGGTGACCCCTCTCAGAGTGGCACTTGGCGATGATGTCTCCACTTTGAGCGCCGCGACCAGTCGCCGTCGTTCTACCGACCGCCATGTACCACTTCCTCGGCTGCTCTCCCGTCAGTCCAGCACGACTTTGACACCACTCCCGTCTTCTCTCCCTGCCCCTGCCCCTGCCGTTCTCACTGGCACATTTTGGACAAATACAACCTCCTCGGAGCAAGTCGCAATCATTGGGGGGAACTTTACCTTCACGAACGGAAGCACCGAGTCCGCCGGGGTTGCGATTTATAACCCATCCACTGGCGCACTCACTCCGTTACAGGGTCAAGCTATCAACGGCACAGTACGCGCGCTGCTAGTGCAGAGTACGTTCCTATTTGTCGGTGGGGAATTCACTATTCTCGGTACGGACATTGCAAACTTCGCGATCTACGACCTCGTGCGCAATAGCTGGGTGTCATCTGGCGTGCCAGCGCTGCAAGGCACAAGTGGCACGACTGTTGTCGTCAGGTCATTAAGTGCATCGGGAGCGAAAGCGAATACGGTGATTGTCGCAGGCTCGTTCGCGCAGGCGGGCTCGCTGCAGTGCCGCGCGATCTGTTCATGGGATATCACGGGAAGACAGTGGAATGCACTTGGGAATGGTATTCAAGGTGATATTGCATCGGTGGCTTACGCTGGGGTGAGTCATCAGCTATCTATGCGTGAGGTTGACACCGATGAGTTGGGCCAGAACAATCAAGATGTGCTGATAGCTGGTGGTTCAATCGCACTGTCCGGGTCGTCTTCGGACAACGTACTCGAGTTTACGTTTAGCAACGCAAGCTGGAGTACCGTGGGCAATGCTACAAGCCTTCCTGGCCCTGTTACTGCGGTAACAGTTAATAACGGCAACGCGAGCAGCATCTTCGCTGCTGGGCGGTGTGTATTTGCCCTGGTTTACTCGTAGTCGGTCAGGAAACTTATAGTGATATAGGTCTGTTGACGGAACATCGTCCTTCTTGGCCGCCTGGGACGGCCGTGTCTGGTCATTGCAAGGCTCTTCCTTTGGCGGCACCAGCACTGTCTCCCAGCTCGCGATGGTTCCGCTGCAAAATCAATATGATGCACAAGGAGGTATCCAAGGTGACCGGATGCTGTTGATGTCAGGGAGTCTCGTCATTTCGTCGTCTGAACAAGCTTCATCATTGTTGTTCGATGGCAAAAGTTTTATCCCGTACCTTGTCTCTGCGTCGGCATCCGGCAGCACAGGATCTGTGTCTGGAATTTTCTACTCTCTCGCCAACTTCAGCTTTTCTCAGCGTCGTAAGTTTTGCCACCTTTTTTTCTACCCAAGGTTAACGACACCGCGTCGACAGATTTCCTTGCCACTGGTGTCGTCATCTTAATCTCTATCGCCATCGCGGCTGGCATAGTTTTCCTAATTGTCTTGCTTGGCATCCTTTGGACCCTCTTCTCCCGTCGTGACGAGGTCCTCAGCAAGTTCGACCCCGCGGAAGTCGGTGATGACGATGACTCCACACAACATCGACCGTCATCTCTCCTCGCTCATATCAATGCTGCGACGAGCGCGACAATTCTGGGGACCAAGGGTCTTACCGTCGACGGAGAGAAGGAGGCTGAAGCGGGGCGGACGCAGGCGCCTCAAGCATGGGGCACGACCCTCTCTCCGGACCTGATGCAAGCAATTACTTGCGGGCAGAGACACCGTCTGATGCGTTTGGAGGTGGCCTTGCCAACGAAGAGTCCGGACGCCCCGCGCATGCTCGCTACTCATTCGATGGTACAGGAGAGGGCGAGCTGCCACTGGTTGTTGGGCAAGAGCTCGAGATTCTTGATGATCGCGACCACTCGTGAGCAACTAAAATACTCTGCTTTGCCCGACCTTGCTGACAGAGACGTTTCTTACCTAGGTGGTGGTACGCTCGCGACGTTCGCACCGGCAACGAAGGAGTCATCCCTGCAGCCTATGTATATTGAAGAAGAAGTTACCTCGTCTTGGCTAGTATCCTTTCTTATTGTATTTAATTCAGCTTCACGATTTATGTTTTTTACGATACCCCATTCTCGAACTCGCTATCCGGTACAGCCAGCCTAGATTGTCTTTCTTGTCTTGTTCTTTGTCACACTCACTTCGCACAGTTGGACCCCCTTACATTTAGTGCGTCTGACACTCCTTTGGCACATTCCGTAATAGCTCGTGTTCTCGTTGGGGAAATGACGGTAGTTAGAACTGAACAACAAAGGTTTTCAGGTTACACGTTCTAGATAATTTAAACAATGCGACGGTGCCATGATAACAGCGAATCTCCTGCAGCACGAGGATTTTTTCCGAGTAACGACCATATATCACTGAGGAAAGATGTAAAATGCGAGTGAGCGGAAAAGAGGACATATCTGCAGAAGTGGCGCGGGAACTGACCTGGAGCAGTGGATCCCTGTAGTGCTTCTGGTGATTATGCACGAATGCCACGCGGGTCTTGTAATCCTCCTTGCGCTTCTGGTCGCGAAATTCGCGCACATGACGCCCGGCCTCGCGCGCCTCGCCGCGGTTCCGCGCCTTGACGACCTCAGTGCCGGCGCCAAACGCGCCGAATCCGCCGCGGCGCGGCACGAGCGCCGAGTGCTTGTCGGCCAGCAGGCGGCGCACGATCGCGCGGCCCGAGTTGGAAGAGTCGTCCTTTTCCCCCCGTTTCCCGTTGCCGGGGAACGATTGCGCGTAGTAGCGCCGCATGCTGCGGTGGCCGATGCGGTTGCCCGAAGGGAGCACCAGCTCGAGGTGCGAGTCGCCGTAGGTGATTCGGTTTCCTGGTAGGCTGTCCGTGTCGTCGTCGGAGGAAGAGTCATTTCCACTTCCTCCCTCTTCGTCTTTGTCTTTGTCTTTGTCTTTGTCCTCGTCCTCGTCCTCGGCAGAGGAGGATGACGGCTCGTCGACCACCTCGTCGACCTCGCCTCCAGAGTCCTCGTCGACGTCCTCCCAGCCCTCCGCGGCTTGCGCAGCGGCCCTCTCTTCCTCCCTTTTCTTCTTCTTCTCCGCCCTGCGTTCCTCCTTGCGCCGCCGCCGCTCTTCGGCGTCGGGATACGACGACGAAAAGTCGTAATAGTCCGATATCTCGAGCATGTCCCGCATGGAGTCGTACGCGATCTTGCAGTGGCTCTTGTCGGCCATGTGTTTGCGGACCGCGTCGAGGCTGCGCAGCTCGCGCCCCTTCCCGTTGCAGTATATGCACACGTTGTCCATCGCGATCTTCTCTCCGAGGTGGTTGACGAGCCCCGTCGGGTCGACGAGGTACTCCGCGTCGGGGATGAAAAAGGAGTGCTCGCCCGACATGTGCGTGAGGTTGTCCTCCAGAGAAGAAGAAATGCGCGCGCAGAAGAGACAATGCAGTGGAGAGACTTGCGACCGCGCGGCGGCGATCTCCTCGTCCAAGGCGGCGGTGTCCTGATCGCCGAGATCATCGGTATCAGATTGCCCAGACGTGGAACGGGGCGGTGGTGGTGCATCATCTGTCGTAGTTGGAGCGGAGGTTTCAGGGGTCTGGTCTTCTTTTAGAGACGACGCTTTTGAGGTCTGAGGCCCCGCAGAACGTGGGTGATCCGCCCGGGATAAGGATCTCACTTCGTTCTCGCGGTGCTTTTTAGAGAGCATATGCGATCGATACGCGTTCTCAGTTGTATACGTTTTACTGAGGGCAAAGTTACCGGTCATTTCCAAAGCGTGAGGAAAGGGGGACACCAACTTGCAGATTTGGCAGCTCGAGCCTCTAGGAGGCAACGCCACGGCAGTCTCCTGCCTTCTCTCAAGCACCTTCTCATTGAAAACGGCCGCGCTAACTGGGGGAAGTGACGCAACGCGACGCTTCATGTTATATCTGTGGTGGTCCGAGCGATAGTGATCCCCTGGAAGCGGTTAGCTCGATCTGAGAGGGAGGGTGCAACGAGATCGTACTCTGCTCCTCTGCGGTGAGAAATGCAATTGAACATGATAAGCAGGTGAACAGTGGCCTGTCGTCTTGCGCCGATGTCTGTATGTCAGTCATGAGGGAAATATGCAGCGTATCGGATGTGGAGAAAGGCAAGGGCGTAAGGGCTGCGCAGACTCAACCGGATGATGCAAGCAAGAACGAGCACGAGTCATCGGTGAAGGGAGAAAAAAAAACATCCTTCGAACCGGGATCGAACCAGTGACCTCGGGATGCACAGTTTCCATTACAGTCCCACGCTCTTCCAACTGAGCTATCGAAGGATATATTTTACAACATCAATCATATATAGAATCAGCAAGTCGCTAACACAGAAGCCAACCTCTTATTTTTCAACTATCTGAACATATCTGATAGGCAAGAATCACCTCTCTCTTTACCACACAGAATGTGATGTATTTTATGTCTATCAGTGTCAGCACTCAGCACACTGACCCGGCCTCAGAAGAAAGGGCCAAATGGCCCTAAACCCATGAGTTTGGATTGTGCTTCAATTAATCACTGTCTCATCCAGTTTGCTCTTATAGAACTACGTGATTCATTTAAACATAACACCTTTACACTTGCTAGTCCCGCATAGGCACTTTGCATATACAGCATCTCCATTATTGCCACGCTCATGCAAGTGTTCATCCTCATCATCCTATGATAGGATTAGGGTGACCACAGCCAATTGTAGAACGAACAACACACCTCTGCATCAGAATCATAACCTGTATATGAGAAGCAGAGTTCTTCCCAAGGCAGGACATCGCGTCGTGTGAACAAGGCCAGAAGGGGCTTGTCAGGATTGGCTTCATTGACATAACAGGCATTCATGGCACAGTTTGGGTCACAACTGTGATTCTATATCAAAGCGTGAATTTGATAATTATGCATCTTCCGGAATTATGAACATACCAGAAAACGAGTGAACTATGTTCAAATTAGCCAATGCTACGGCTCAAAGGACATAGAACTCACATTGCCTGCATGATACGCATCCATTACATACTTTGTCTGCCATTCATCATCACCGCCATCACCAATGCTGCTCTCATTTGGGCGAAGGTGATAAAAATCAAGTTGGAATAAATATGTCCTGCCAAACTTGTTATATTTACTAAATCAAGTCAGACGTACACCACAATGTAGGTCAAATTGATTGATTCACTTACATGCCCCTTTCCTCTCCTTCGTTTTCGGTCAGGAGTTCACCCGCATAGATACCGATGAATGAGCCCTTAGGAATCTTTTGTCTCCCAGCAAAGATACCTAAAGGGTGGGTTAAAGAAGCTTAGAACGAGGGATCCTTACAGACATACCCCATCCTTTGTTTGATGTCTTTCGAATGTTGACGGCATATTGCCGACCATGCTGAACAACCTTCGCACACCGTCAACTGTCGACGTCTCGAAAGATCTAACGTAGACATACTCTATTGCGACAGCCGTCAAGGCAACCGCAGAGGTCATTACATTCAAAAATGGGGAATCCTCGTTGTTTGAGCCGTCCTTTATCATCGTAGATGAAGCCTGGAATGTGTCCGGTGTACTCCTGTTGCTTCTTCAAGCAAGAGCATGTTTGAGACTTCGGGTCACAGTATCCCTCGCAGTCGCACCCACGAAGGTTAGTAAAATCAGGTAAAGGCACGCCGTCGCTGTGCCATATGCGATTGCTGTAGTAGAACTCCCACGCAGGTGTCACCTCCTCCTGGTCGCGGACATCATCATTGATGATGGCTATGCGTGGGGCATTTGGCTCGTCCTCATAGGTATTCTCATAAATGAGAGCCTCAAACATTTCCTTTGCCATGCCCGACCTGCGATAATGTACTTCCACAGTATTCATGAGATCTTGTACCGCGTGGGGTATATCTCGAGAGTAGAACACCTTAGGGGCGAAGTCAAGCATCATGCGGGCAGGTGTGAATTGGACGACGGAAAGATCAGCTCCCTGAGATGATGATCTGTCTGGAGCAACGATGAGACACGCTACCTTCCAGGAAGTGATGGATCGAAGGGCGTACCGAAAGCGACTGAAGAAACGGCGTCATGAGTTGCGACGGTAGGATTGTTTGATGTATCCAGGGAATCCCCCCGGCAACGGTGGACAGTGCAGGGCTAGCTATGATTGACAGATTCCGAGCCAATGAGACGAGTGTCGACGAGGATGTATCCCAGGACGACTTGTCAGGTAGAGAGGTTGACGCGCCCTTCGGTGGTTGTGCATCACCTTGTTCCACTAGGCCATGGGAGGGTCCCGAGGGGGAGGCTGGTTCATCTGTCGAGTCTTTGGAAGACCCCGAGGGACCACTATATGATGTCCCGCGAATTGGGACATCCGACGGATTCCAGGAATCGGCTGGGAGGTCATGGCCCCGGTTTGGGGATGAGGACATGCGCACCATCGCGAGCCGATGAGAAAATTCCTCATCGCACGGCTTAGGGCTCATTGAAGAGGGGGAGGCCGCTACAGGAGACCGCCCCTCACGCATTGGCTCCAAAGCTGCGTTCGGCACCTTGTCCCGAACTTCAGAGCCATTCTGTGTGGACGATGGCATCTGATCAATGTCGGCATTCGCAACGGGTGGTTGGTTTACAGACTTCGCAGTGTGCATGTCGGCAAGTGGCGGTTGCGGTGCTATGTGGGTAGACGGTGACTCTGTGTCGCCGAACTGCCTCGGCGGCGGCATTTTATCCGCGGTCACGTTTTCAGGTAGAGTGACTGCCTTGCAAACTGCGAGGACACTCTCATCTCCTGTACCGGAGATACTAGGAGATCCACTCTGTGAAGGATGAGAACGTGCCAAGTACTTCGAACCGGACGGAGATATTGGGTGAGGACTATTGCGATGGGACATATATCGAGAGGCTTTTAATAACGGAGGAACGGTAGTAACTCGCCCTGCAGGGGCGGGTTCGGCTTCGTCGTCGCTGTCAAGGACGATGGGGTTGCTTGAGTTGCCAGACGGTGGTGTATCATCATCTGATGATAGCACAATTATCTCGCTGTTATTTCCAGGCCGCCGTTTTTGAATAGCTTGAGATAGCAAAATGCATTGTTAGTTCTTCACTTTGCGATGGGAGAGTAGATGAGGTGTCAAAATGGACTAACCTTCGGAGCGACGACCCTCATTGCGCGGCAGGGGTTCGGCATTGCTCCGCCTCGGATACCTGGAGACGATCATGTGTTGAAACTCAAGCTGTGACGATATAGTGAACGCACCAGAGCCAGGCTTAAGTAACGAGTGCAAGAGCTCGCGATTCCGTGTTAACTGCACCTTCTTTTTCTTCGTAGTGATAGGCGAAGCAGCGCTCGGAAGAGGTCGAAAAGCGCCCTTCGTGCGTGAGACTGCCTCTGGTTCAGTCACAGTCATTCCTGGATGACGGGACGTCTCCTTGCGAGCGAACTTCTGGGGCCGTAGAGATGTAGCTGGGGGTAAAGCTGCTTTACGCTTATTATTCAGGGAACTGAGACCGGCTGCTCTTTCAGAATCAGAAGAGTTTCTACTTCCAGATGGAGATGATGGTTGTGAATCTATGAACGTGGTGCATGTCAATAGGCTGTGGTCTCGTGTGGTACGCGATGAACGCTGACCCAACAATACCTCCCATGTTGGTATCGCCGAGGGCTCACGATTCGCACACATTGAAATGGGGGTCTCAAATCGAAGCGAAGAGGCGAGAGGTGAACAAGGGATGTCGATAAGAACAGCGTGGTACAATCTTAGTTCAAAGGCATGATACAGCCACTCGACGACCGTGTCGCGCGACATTCACAGATCGTCACGTGACAGAGGCGAGCTTATGGGAATTCTCAAAAATTGTGATATTTTAGTGTATTCTATGGATGAAACTATGTCCTTCAAACGGATTCTATCCCAGGTAACACATGAGTTTGACAAAAGAGTGAATACAATATAAAATTGGTACTGACCTTGAATAAGGCCGTTGAGTTTGTTGACACGCGAAGAAATACTGAGGTCGATGGTCTTCTCTCCGAAGTCGACAATTAAGCCACCCAACACTGAAGGGTTCACCTAATTAAAGTAACTTGAGTTAGAGGGCGCTAGTTGTACGAGACTTGACGTACTTTGTTTGTCAATTTTAGGGACTTCGCTTGCTGCGCGGTTTGGGACTGCTTCAACGTGGTCTCTAAGCGGGACAAGACCTCTTTGCTGAGAGGGACAGCCGAGGTGACAACGACTTTGAGTTCGCCCTTGTATTTGGCCACCAGCTCATTAAATCCCTCTATAACCCCCGCCGTTTCTCCCAATCGCCCATTCTCCGAGAGTAAGGTAAACAGGTTCTTCGTGATGTCTGACACTGCTTCCTTCTTTGCACCTGTACCTTCTGCGCGCGCGTACAAGGCAGGAAGGCCAGCGCTTCGATCGTTGATAGAAAGCGTGGGGTTTGTGACAAAAGCTTTGAGAGGTGGGGTGTCTTCGATTGACTTGGAAATGGCGTTGAGCTCGGCTTGGACCTTCGTCAGGACTTGCGGCGATTTGGCGAGTGCCGCCGAATATGCCGCATTGGCATATTTGAGGGAAATTCCAGATGCTGCTCGCCGTCCAAAGCCGGCTGTAGGGGTGTATGTGCGAGCCAAAGAGAATGACATGGCAAAGAGCGGAGAGCGGAGAAACCGGACAGCAGCGTGACACGATACGATGCGTGACATGCATCCATCACGTGACTATCTTGCCATATACGGCCTAACCGCCATATGATTGTCAATTGGAGCCTTTTTCTTCCTCTGTCATTCCTCTTTCATTATTGTTTGGGCCACACGCCGTCTTCAACTATTGTTCTCATCGGGCCTTCTGCATAAATGCATCTATTTTCCATTTCCATCCGAGCCGGTTGATCTACAACTGGCAGACACACACTACAGACACTCGCTTGGTGCACAGATATCCGTGAGGTCCAGCTTGGTAGGTGTCATCCAGTTTGGCTACGGCTATGGCATCGTAGTGTAGTGATAGGGGACACCACTGCGAAGACGCTGCCTCGGATTTCACTCACACATCATATCTCACTCAATTTATGAAATAGGTAGAAGAGCAGGCGGTACCTGAGAAGCGCTGACTCGAACTTGAAACTCCACAAATGCGGCGGTACCACTGACACGACCATCACAAAAACTAACCGACGTCACGGTGTACCCGAACCTCATTATGCTTTCGGGTCGCCAGTCTGCGTCAAACCAGAACCAGGGCTGTCATCACTACGACGATGGTCACACCTACTACCCCCGAACTCGAACCTACAAAATTTGAAGGAAC